ATATATATATATATATATATATATATATATATATATATATATATATATATGAAAATGAGACAATCTTTGTTCTACAAAAACTGAAATAAATGAGCCTTTCGATGATATTCAAAAGTAGAACAGAAAATAGAGATTAAGCATTTTAGAGACAAAAAAAGGAAGTTTTTTTTAAGGAAATACTTGGTTTTTAGCGTGTCAGCAGCATAAACTTCTTATATTAAGAAAAAAGATCACATGTCGGGTTTTTTTTCAGTGCAGACATCAGTTTATGACTGATGTCTCTGTAAATGATGGAGGATTTGTCTTCTACCACTTTATCTGTCAGCCTATATCAAGCATATCAGCATTCAGGCAACACAGACACACACAGAGTGCAATTACGAGTTGACAAATTAAATTACAAGCTAAAGCCTAAACCATAAAATGATTGTCAAAAAATTCAAATTTTTGAATTTAGAGTTGTCTTTGAAAATTCTAAAAGTGGATGAGTTAAGTTGGATAATGTTTTTTCGTTATAATTTGTGTGGAAGCATTTTTTTGTTTATTTCCTTCTGCAGCCATTTTTTCTTTGTTAACTGTCCACTCCCTTTTCTTTTGACCTCACCTCCATGTTGGAAGGTGACGTTCATATCTGCACTTAACATGCAAACTGTCAGATTAACTCAGTTGCTGTGATTCACCTGCAGCCACAATGCTGCGTTTTATCGATCAGTCTGTTGGTGTGACTTGACGATCCAGCCGTTTGGGAATCCCTCCCAACCTGGACGCTTCCATCCTGCCTTCAAAGGTTGTTACTGTTTACTGATGTGGCAGAAGCGCAGGAGTCGAAGTGCTGAAAGCATTGGGAAAGTAGCCAAGATGTAATTTTTTATTTTTTCCTCTTTTTATTTGTGTTTCGGCACAAATTTAATTGAAGGGGCCTATGCTGATATAAAGCCGGGGATAAACTGTGTGATATTTTCAATCGTTGCACGCAGCTACAGCTACTGTACAGCTACAGGTTTATTTCACAGCTCACGATGCATGATCTCACACTGTGCGGCCTGACGCTCTGATGCGACTGAATATCAAACATGTTTGGTTTTCTCCCGACCTTAGGATTCTTGATCGGCATGTGGTCTTGAGAGGATGATCACCTCTTTCAGCCCGATCGTGCATCGTGTAGTGTACTCCCTGCTGAAAGTCGGGCCGATCGAAAAATTCACACACGTCTAAAGAATCAGCCTAAAAAAGTGCAAAACAATCGTACAGTGTATGCATGGCTTTTGACATTTATGTGCCGTTAATGTAGATTTCTGTTCACTACATGTATTTCATTGTATAAGTTCAATTTTTTACGTTAAAAAACACAGTGATGATGAAGGGTTCTCAAAAATCAATGTATCAAATATGATGACTTGGTGTTAAAGGGCTAATATTTATGTTTTTGGACTGTGTGAGGAAGCTGGATTCCCAAACGCAGGAACTTCTTGCTCCAAATACATTTCAAGCAAAGTTTTGCAAAGAGAAAAAAAGAAAATGGTGAAAAATAGTGAAACTGCTGCCTGTGGATATGGTCAGAAATTTATCTGATATTGTTGACAACATCCTGTTAGTTAGGCAATATCTAAAGCGTTCGGTAATGCTATGTTTTACGGTACATCAGTAACCATGTAGTAACATGGTAATAACATAAGTTACACTATATTACTAGGTAAGAAGTAAAACTATGGAAAATTTTGGTAAGTGCTGTGCTTCATATTTTAGGCAGATAAGGTAAAGTCAGACTTCTTAGAGTTCAAACAGTTACAATTACCAGGTAACTCAGTCATTTCATAGACAGCAGCAAAATAAATGTGTTATTATTTAGTAAAATGCAGTTTATTACCAAACCTAGAGGACAGAAAGCTAATCTTTTTAACTAAACTCTTGTTTATATGTAACTTGAGTTCAGTTTTATAATACTATAATACTACTATAATACTTTGAATGCCATTGGTAGGTGGTGGCCAACAATAGAATAATAGAAACTAACCTTATGGTAATTACCCACCAAAAGCCTCCATTGTTGCATAGTAACATATAACTGTAATAATTACATGCAAGTAATTACTTTGAAACTTTATACCTAAATTTGGGGTAATTACCGAATAAAGTTTTTCTTGTTACCTAGTAATATGATGTGACTTGCTATGTTATTAACATGTTATTGCAATCATCATCATCAAAAGCTAATATTTTCAATCCACTTCTATTAAAGCTTTTTGAATTACAGCTAATAAACAAAGGACAGGTCTCCGTATGGAGTGAATTTTGTTCCAATATTGTTGCAATACAAAACATTTTGTAAATGGAAACAAAAAAAAATACATTGAAATTACAAAATCTGAGAAAAGAGCAATGTTACTCTAAAAAAAACAAAAAAAAAAACAAACAAATTTTTTAAGTTTCATTTCTAGATTGCTTGTTTTTTTTTTTTCTAATGTAAAATCTGCTTTTTATTTACCTGCACCAAAAATGACATAAAATTTACTTGATACTCTGGTAACTTCTTAGAAAAAACTAAACAAACTACTCATAATTTTTTCGTGAAATAATGGTGAATCATCAGGTCAAGAGAATTATGTTCAGTGACAGACACAACAGTTGTGTATTCAGGTGATGAACAGCTTTGGATGATCTGTGGGGTCAGGACCGATTCAGCCCAGTGGAACACTGAAACCCCACAATGGGGCTCCTGGGGATTTAGAGCCTGAACCCGTGACCCTTTCCCTCCTTGTG